TTTAGAAGGCCAACACTAGAACGAAGGCAGCTCTGCAAACTTCGGAGGAATTCTGCACACTTACTTAATGATTTGCCATAATTGTATGGGCAATTTGGCTTTCAAAAATTGCGACCATTCAAATTATCGGAAAGAATTGGTTATCTTCTATCACAAACGTAAGACTAATATAATATAGTGGAATTAATGATAAGTTTTAAAACAAAACCTTCTGAAGATTTGATGATTTTATTTTCGAATTAAAGGCTATCTATTGTGTGTGAATTTCCATTTAGGTAAAAACTCGAGTGAAAAGGGCCATTAGTATTAAAGACATTTTTCTTAATCTCATTTATATTGAAAATAAATAAAACTGAAACACAAATGTGCAATTCGCTTTGCTTTGCAAGTCACTCCAGTCGAGTGGTAGCCGAAATAAAAATAAATAAAATATATTTCCATATGTAATTGGGCTGCCAGGCGCACAAGCCAAGCCGATGCCTGTCCCCGAGATCTCGCGTCACCTAACCTGAGCGACTGCTAAGTGTTTTGTCTTGTAATTTACAAATGCAAAATAGCCAAATGTGACAAAATGCATTCGGCTGACAATTTATCGTGTTGCGTGGCAGTACAGTGCTTCCTTGGGGGGGAAAATGGAACATGGAACGGGCTCGGGCTCGGGCTATCCAGATCTCCTGCTACATCGGCATCGGCATCGGAATCGGTGGAGGCATACACAAAAACTAGTTTACTTACGCATTTTGCGTGCGCCTAGCGCCTAGCATTGATATCCAATGTGCATTTATATTTATGGGCCTAGCCGGGCCTGGCCTTGATCTAGAATTTCAAATCATTTTTCCCGATGTTTTCGTTTTCAACGCGGCGTATGTGTGATGTGTGCGATCTCAACAGATCTCCGATTCGATTCGGTAAGTGAGTTAGGATGAATGTACATATGTATGTTGAGGGTGAGGTGAGGTAAGGTGATGTTTTGGTGCTCGGTTTGCGTAATCATGTATCGGGGTGCTAAGTACCGGTTTAAGTGCCGTAGACCAGAGACCAGGTTGGCCAGTTTATATATATTTTTTATGCATCTGTCTAACATGAACTGAAGCGCCGTGGAAACGCGTGCGATTATTTTTTGTATTTCGCTTTCTGCACTTGTAATTTATTGGGAAATTTAATTGAATTCGCTTGCTGTTTCACTGCTGCCAAGCAACCAACCGGTCACATAATTTTTGGCCGCTACTGATTACACGTTGAGTTGAGCAATTGGCCAAGCACTTTTTCCATACAAAGGTGATTACCTTTAAGTTTTCGCACACTTTTGCCACTTATCTAAGAAGCCAGATGGGACGGAGCAGAACTTTCTTGATAAATCAGTTCACTTTCTTTCTATTTTTAGGAAACTATAAATGCCGGAGAGCTGCACCAGAGTCGGTCAGTGGCTTTCAGTGGACTCCAACGGGAGATCTCAGCATGTTCCGGCTGCGCCTTGGGCTTGTTTTTTTAGCCGGTTGGCTTGTACTTGTCTTTGCAAAGCCCATAGAGGAGGAGCCACTTTCATCGGATCAGAAGTTTGAATTGGAGATGATAAATGATCGAAAAGGTTAGTTGTAGCCTGAGTTTTTCACAAAATGTATTTCTACGTACCAGTTTTCGGTCCATCCAGTGAAATGCCTCCAAAAGCCAGCGTATGGAAACTGTCACGGAAGACGCTCACTGTGGTACTTTAATCCCATCACAGATAACTGTCTGCGGTTCAATTATTCGAACTGTGGCGGAACCGAAAATCGTTTCTACACCTTTTCGGAATGCATGCAAAGTTGTAGTGAATACAACTTGAGTAGTTTCGTCTTGGAAGATCCAGATGATGAATTCGAACAATCTGTAGGGAGTTTCTAAAAGACTCTTCCAAGGTGTTATATAACTGATAAGTAATATTAAGTAATATACGTAATGCTTCAGTCCAATATTTGAACTAGAAGTTCTTCAAGCTATAACATTTTTGTGATTTACATTCAAAAAAAAAACCCCACAACTCCTACGAGTAGAAAAATTAGTTAATTATTTATTCAGTTGACGCATTACCGACATACATACAGACATGACAAAAGAAAACTGTTGGAATCAGGATCAGTAAACGTTCTGCTTTTAGGGGGAACCTAATATAGTTATTATATTTCTAATATTATTATATTATATTATTATTATTGTAATATAGTGTTTTGAATTCTTGACAATAGATGTAATAGCCAGAAAGACGAGTTTTGAGACCCAAAACGAATCTTATACCTAATCGAAATATTCTCCGATTTGAAGAACGCCTAAATATGTATGTAAATAAATATGTATATGTCTAAGCCAAACAAAATAAAATTAGACGGAGTTTTGACTTAAACTATTCAAGGAATAACTTTCCCCACGGAGGTTCTCAATGGGAGTCAGGTCCGGACTTAATGCTGACCAGCTCGATAAAGTGATTTCTATACCCGATACCCAAAAAGAGGATATGGGGGTGTATTAGATATGTGGCGAAAATGGATGTGTGTAAGCCCAGAAGGAAGCGTTTCCGACCCCATAAAGTGTATATATTTATATTCTTGATCAGCATCAATATCCGAGTCGATAGAGCATTGCCTGTCTGTGCGCCGTCCGTTTGGTTTAACGCCTAGTTCTCAGAGACCTTAAGAGCTAGAGCAACGAAATTTTGTTTGCAGACTCCTGGGATATCACACTGAATCAAGATTGTTTCAAAATTTTGCCACGCTCCTTTCCGCCCCACAAAAGCGAAAATCTGTGGCATCCACAACATTCAAGATACGAGAAAACTAGAGAATGGCTATATCTTTTACCGAATCTGGGTCAGTTCGGATTATTACAGCAAACCTCTCTATCTCTCTCTCCCACACACTTCGTACTATTCATGATTTCGACTTGCATTCGAAAGTACACTGTGAACGAAATGGTGAAGTGACACCAGTTTACCTCTGTGCAGAAATCAGTTGGAAACCAAATTACTAATAATCTGTTTAAATCAGTTTAGAAAACACAATAATTAAAACAAATTGACATAAAAAGGAAGGAAATGCAAAACGAGGTCCTTTTGAAAATATATATGCTTTTTATGGAAATGGCTGACATAAACTGTAGGGCTGTGGGTACATGGGTCAGTCTGACTGGCAAATTGCTGGCATGATACATATGTATGTATGTACATATATGTTCCCTGGTGCCACGTTTAGCCACTGCTTAATCACTTTAACACATCGAACTTTTGGCGAAAACTTTGGCTGTTTGCCACTATTTTAACTAGTCATGTAAATGAGAATTTTCATGACAAATTAGTGGAGACGGCTTTTACTTTCCATTAAAGGAACTATAAATACCATAGGCCTAGTCTGGAGTCGGTCAGTAGCTTTCAGTGGATTCCAACGAGACATCTCAACATGTTCTGGCTGCGCCTTGCTCTTATTTTTCTAGCCGTTTGGCTTGTTTCTGGAGACATGCAATTTGAAGAATTGGATCAGCAGGAACAGTTGGAGAGAAATATGATGCAAGAGCGGAAAGGTTTGTTATCCATAGATTTGGCAAAAAAAAGATAATCATACATGTTTTCATCCACTCAGAGGTCTGCCTCATAGCCAAAACATCCTACGGCGATTGCAATGGAAAGCGCAAAATGTGGTATTACAATGTCCGTCGAAATAAATGCCACACGTTCATCTATTCGAACTGTGGCGGAAACCGAAATCGTTTTTACACCCATGAGGAGTGCATGGAATTTTGCGGCGGCTACAACTTGCAAGAATACCAAACCTAAAAAAAAAAAATGATTTTCCTCTTCCATGAGTATTGTATAGTTATTTCTATTAATATTAATAATAAGAGGTTTGTTGAAACACACAGGTTGTGCTTCCTCGCTAAGAATCTTTAAGCTACAACTCTTTCTAAGTGACATTTTCAATAAAAATAATGTCTTATTAAAATGTATAAACATAATAATAGTGTGGCTGAGGGATAGCTATCGAGAGGAAGACGAAGAAGGATTAGATATAAAGAAATAAAGAAAATAAAAGCACAAAATAATAACAAATAAATATGTTACAAATTTTTAATTGATAATATTTAGCTGTTTTGTAAAGGGTAGATACACAATACGCCGCTGATTCTTTGTTTTGCGTCGTTAGTCTTCGTGGAGAAGATCATTGCTCCCGCACCCACACTTGGCCCAACTTCAAGCTTTCGTTCTGCAAATATTGCCGCACACGATTCTCTCCCGCCGCCGTCGTTATTACTCGTACATTATTCGTCTGATTTTCGTCGTTGAAGCACGGTTGCTCGTCATTGTTTAGGGGGTACGGAAGTATTCTCTGTTTATACGAAGTCCTGTGAAATTATGTTAACTATGCATTCAATTATTTTAATTGGGTCCTTTGCTTTTGTTTCATTTTATTTTATTTCTTATCTGATGTTGTATTTTCATTTATTAATTGAATTACCGTTGTGATTGTGGGTATATTGTGTCTCCAATATGTTTTTTTGTAATTTCGGAGCTGATTCCAAGGTCATGAATTGCTTTTAAGAGCTAGCAAAGAACTTTACCAAGCGAATTAAATTAATTGAAGTGAATTATTTCAACTGATTTAGAGAAAAGCAGAGAGACGCCACTTGCGAAATCAAAATACAACACGTCTTTGCGCCATCCAATCACCTTCCCATCTCTTGAATCTTGAATGAAATCTGAAAGCAATCAAAAAAATAAAGTAAATGGAAAATAAGGGGAAGGTGACACACTGTCAATTTGTTCGGTGTTTAGCAAATGCCCAAGAACTTTGCTACATTTAAGTATTCGAATACTTTCGTTTTTATTTTGGAAGCCATGCAAGTGAGAACTTTCGTGATGAAGTGGAGTGCGCTGCCTCCTCCTTTCCATTAATGGAACTATAAATGCCAGCGGACTGTGCCTTATTCGATCAGTAGTAGCTCCCAGTGGATGCCGAGTAGATCTCAACATGTTTTGGCTGCGCCTTGCTCTTGTTTTACTAGCCGTTTCGCTTGCACTTGTCACTGTAAATTCCGAAGAATCCGAAGAAATGAACCCGAAGGTTCTGAAGACAATAAAGATGCTGGATGAACGCAAAAGTTTGTTAACCAGGGTTCTTTACAAAAACTAATGATACAATGATTTCGAATCCACTCAGGAATCTGCCTGAAAGGCCCATCATATGGCTATTGTAAAGGAAAACGCAACATGTGGAACTTCAGTTACCGCAACAAGGACTGCTTGCCGTTTACCTTTTCGAACTGTGGCGGAAACCAAAATCGTTTCTACAGTTATGAGGCATGCATGGAGTTTTGCAGCGAAAAACACTGGAAAAGCCCAGATATATACGACATCTTAGAAGATGGTTACTGATTTGGCGCTAATTATTTTTCTTTAATTTCAAAGTCTCACCTAATGCTAAAAAAGATGGAAACAAAAAGCTGAAATTCTGCCGTTTATTTTTTTTAATTATTATAAAAAGTTATCGGAGAAAGTCCATCTCAAATATATTTTGAAATATAATCATACATACATGTCCGATCCTTAATAATGATTGTCTGAGAGGGATGCTATGGGAATACCTATTAAGTAGCAAATGTATATTTACCGTGAAGTTTCCACGTAATAAATTGGAGTCGGGGGCCACACAGTTTCCCCGCCGAGTAATCCGCTGTTTGACGTGTTGCAATGGAAACATATCCGATTTATAAATTTATATTTAAGGCAAATAAATTAATAATATTCAAATAAAATTCTTATTTTTATTATTTATTAAATTTAGGGCTAATATACATATAATATTAACTTTGAAACTATTCGAGCACTAGCTACTAAAGCCATTCAGCTTTGCTGTTAATAGCTTAAATAAATTAATTTATTTAATTTTTGTATGGCCGATACGTAGGCGGATGAACATGGTCTATCTGGATTTTGTACATTTTGGGTAGACCGTGGGTGAACCACGCGGGTTGTATCGGTGGAGCAATTGGTCCCAATCTTCAGACTGTCTTTGGGTTGTGATCTGGGGGACGAGCCTTTTTATATAATTAAATATTCATGTTTATTTATGTAAATTAAATATTTTTTCTCCTTAAATTGTTTTGCCGAGACCATGCTCTCAGAATATATACAGAAATGTATATGTATACAGAATGTATGATCATACATATCATATCATGAAGTTCGTTTAATTTCTGTACAAGTTGCAAACAGATTACAGCTTTGTGTGATTAATATCAATAACAACGAGGGGGAACGTTGTGAGTTTCTGCCGAGACCGCAACTCTACATTTATAGCCGATACTTAGTCAGTAAGTAAGTCAGCCGCGAATATTAAACGACACGAAAAACAGCGCGTGCGAGAGAGACAGAAAATCAGTCTGAGCATGACGTCGGGCGCTTCGTAGCCACTGCAAATTGATTTGTTCCTTTTGGCTATAAAAATGATGCGTTGTGATCCAGATTCAGCAACCGGATAGATATGGTAGATATACATATATCTTGATTCTGACTGTAATAATTATACGATCTGGTTCAGATTTTGCACTCTAGAAGATATAGTCATCCTCTACGATTCTGCGTTGTTGGTTTTCTTGTATTTTTGAAATTGTGGATGCCACAGGCAAAGTTTTGAAATATTCTTGTAACAGTGACATATGTATCACAGAAGTCCGGATAACAAATGTCGTTGCTCTAGCTCTTATAGTCTTTGAGCACCAGGCTAGACGGGGCTCAATCGACTCGGCTATTGATGCTGATCAAGAATATATATACTTTATGGGGTCGGAAACGATTCCTTCTGGACGTTACACACATCCACTTTCACCAAAAATCTAATATACCCCAATACTTATTTTGAGTATCGGGTATAACAGCCGATCAAGTTCGTAGTGTTTCAGCTGTCCAGTAGATCCCTTTGGAATTATTTTTAGAGAAATATGGAAGAGCCGGAGGTCTTGTCCTTTACAAAGAAGTTTCTATTGATATTGTGGAAGAATCTACGTATGCTCTTAGGACGCAAAACCAATTTGGCTTATTTAATATTATTTTCTTTTGTATTTCCGCTGGGAGTCGTTTACCTCGCTTGGACTGCTGAAATTGAGGCCTCCGGTAAAGAAATAAACAATGAGCACTCACTGCAACCGTAAGTCGAACCACCAATTATAGCTACAAAAAAAATTCATTCAATGGTATTCAATGATTTCAGCCTACAAGGAAAAATGACCCTACTATACTCGCCGCGGAATAAAATTCTTGAGTCGCTTATTAAAGGAGTATCCTTTCCTGAATATGACGACAACATTACGATCTATGTTGATGGCTTTGTCGATGCCAAGGCCTTGGAGGAAGTGCTTACAACAAATACTTCGAACGAAGGGGTGCGCGGCATAGAGTTTCCCGATGAATGGTCCGATATATCCGAATTGCCGCATAGGTTTCGATTTGCCCTGCGTTTTCCCATTACCAAAGACTTCAAGACGAATCGCCTGATATCGCGACACAACAACAAACACGAATACCAGGAAAGTGGGTTTCTACTTATTCAGAGGGAAATCAGCATACAATATCTGCAGAAAAAGAACTCCACCCAAGCAGTGATTCGACCGAAACTCGAACAACTATATACAAATGTTGAACTTAGTTCTACTGCATATATTCGTGTATGTTTATTTTGTGTCTTTGTACTCATGCTCATGATGGATGTTGAGGTAAGACTAAGTAATTCTTTAAGCAGTTCTTTAAGCGTTTCATTTGGAAGGACATTGTCGAGGAAAAAGAGCTTCAGCTGAAGGAAATGTTAAACATCTTCGACGTAAGCAACTCTCTGCAATGGCTGGCCTGGTATGTCAAATCCATGATAATTACAATCGTAATATCGCTGTTCGTTGCGAGTATTTGGACGCTAATCGGCATCAGAAGACTTTGGCCCTTTCAAGACATGCCCCTTCTCCCTCACACCGGCTGGTCCGTCTTTCTCTTTTATATGCTTGTGTGCAGCCACTCTTTCATATGCTTTGGCTTCCTCGTCAGCTCCTTCTGCTCTCGCAGCATTTGGGCTGGCATCATTGTGCCCCTTCTGTTCATAGCGAGTTCTCTGCCCACAATAATCATGGACAAAGACACCACGGGGACACTGGCGAGCATCCTGTGCAGCATTTTTGTTTGCTCGGCCATGGGGATGGGCTTGGATCGAATTGTCATATGGGAGGAAGCAGGTCTGGGTTTGCAGTGGAGCAATCTGTTCAAGACGTCATGGCTCAATGACAGCATAAGCGTGGGTGCGATACTGTTAATCATGCTGCTGGTTAGCTTGATCTCGGTCCTCATCTGTCTATACATAGAGCAGGTGAGGCCGGGCGAGTTTGGCACGCCACAGCCGTGGTCTTTCCCGTGCACCAAACGGTTTTGGTGTCCGTCCAAGTACATGCGACGAGTTTTATCCCTCCCGGTCTGGTATCCTGTCCAACGAGGGAACTCCAAGCTCGTGAATGCCAACGCCAAGGGCCAAATATCTGGTGTTCAAATCAAAAGTCTCAGTAAAAGCTTTGGCAAACGACAGGTGGTCACTCGCCTCACATTCGATTTGTTTGAGAACGAGATCATGGTGCTCCTGGGACACAATGGCGCTGGCAAGACGACTACCATACAAATGTTGACGGGGACTATTCAACCCAGCTCCGGCACAGCGATTATCAATGGCTACGACATACAAACCCAACGGCTCCTGGCCCGTCGGTCCTTGAGTATTTGTCCGCAGAAGAGCATATTTTTTGGTGGCTTAAGTGCAGCCAGCCACCTGCGATTCTACAGCCGGCTCAGAGGTCTAAAGGGAGCAGCGGTCAAGCAGGAGGTGGACAAGTACTTGCAGAAGCTTAGCCTACAGGAAAAGGCCAACAGCTCGGCCCGGAGTCTGTCTGGCGGTACCCAGCGTCGGCTTGCGTTGGCCTGCGCCCTGTGCGGCAATGTCAAGGTTGTGTTCTGCGACGAGCCCAGTTCGGGTCTGGATCCCAGCTCGCGGCTCGAACTATGGAAGCTGATGCTGGACGAGAAGCAGGGGCGCACGATTCTGCTCACCACCCATCAAATGGACGAGGGCGAAGTATTGGCTGACCGCATTGCCATCATAAGCGATGGCCGGCTCCGGTGCCTGGGCACATTGGCGTCCCTCAAGAAACGGTACGAAACGAGCTATCTGCTCACCTGCGAGAAGGGCCCACGCTGCGATGTGCCCAGATTGACCCAGCTGATAGCCGAGCACGTCCCCCACACGCGTCCACAGAGTAACATTGGATCCGACGTGTCCTATCGGTTGCCTCACCGCTTTTTGAGATCCTTTGGGTCACTCTTCAACGACTTGGAGCAACAGAAGGAGCAGCTGGATGTTGTGGGATTCGGTCTTAGCTCCGCCAGTCTTGCAGAAATATTTATGTCGCACGGTGCGGAAGATCTTGGGAGTGGCGGTGGGGGTCGCACCAGCGGAGGCGGATTGGATGAGCAGAGGCAGAGACAGGCACAGAGACGTCGTGACAATTGTTGCCTGCGCTGCCTGGGCCAGTGGGAGGCCATGCTTTTGAAGAAGATCCTATACATTTATGATAAGAAATGGATGCTTCTGGTTATCCTGCTGCTGCCTCTAGTCATCTACCTTCTATCTATTATTCGAAGGCAATCGAGCTCCAATATGAAGAGGCTACCGCTAACACTGGCTGATTACAAAAGCGATGACGTCTTAATATTATTGCAACCGAAATCGGACGCTCGACCTATGCGGGATATATCCAATGCCTACCAAGAGTTAGCCCAGCAACACTGCACCGTCGAAAGAATAAGCCAGAATGTAGGCGACTATATCGGCCCGGGGCAAGAAACGCCCGAAAGGATATACGAAATAAAGCGCAGCCTTATAGCGGCAGTCACCGTCGACCAAGAGATGATCGTCTGGAGTAGAAATGATCCCTTCCTGCATAGTGCTCCACTTTCGCTCAACCTCGCGTTCAACGCCATGGCCAAAGCAGTGGTGGGTCACGAGGCGAGTATAGAGGTAACCAATGCCCCCTTCAAATTTTCGGATAAAGTAGATGGTGCTACAATATCGACTATCGCACTGACCATTGCTGTTTCAATATATCTGTCCATTGTCTTGGCGATATTCGCCATCTTGGTGGTGCAGGAGAAGGTAACGCAGATACGGATGCAGCAACAGATGTCCGGCGTGAACATGGTGACCTACTGGCTGACCCACTACATCCCGGACTTGGTTCTCTACTTTGTGTTTTCGCTGGCACTGCTAGTGGCGGTGCACGAGTCGTGCCATCCCGGGGAGATGCTATTGATTTTGATGATCATAGGAGTGGCGGCTCTACCCTTTACCTATATAATAGCATGCCTTTTCAGAAGTCCAGGCAGGGCTGTGGTCATAATTTCCACGATACACAATCTGATCGGTAGGATTTTGAAACTTTAGTCTTCAGATGCATTTTAAATTAAGCCCCAAATCCGTTTCTCCTTTGCGTAGGTGGGTTGTTTGCCATCATCATGGTATTGCTGTATCACAAAGTATACGAAACGGAGTTTCGGTGGATGATATACGTATTTTACCTTTACCCTGTGTTTACTGGCACATTTGCGGTCGTAAACGGCTTTTCAAGGTTTGTGCAGTGCCATGCTGATTCCATCCCAGTTGAAAACTTAGATAAGCTTAGGTTGAATTGTACTCCCGGCTTAACACCTGTACATTACTATTGCAATTGCTTCGGTAAGTATCAAGACACACACTTTGAGCACACTCACATATCACATAGCACATTTCCAGTTACATATGGAGAGATCTGTTACCGATCTTATTTTCGAACTTGATTGAAACTTAACTTGTTTAACATATTGACATATCATATCATGTCATAATAATGCATATGCAACTATCTAAAAGAAATCCCAGAATAATTTCGTAATATCGACGTATCTTTTATTCACCCCAGAAATTTTCGTTCCAAGCAAATATCCTTAACATTAGACTTAAAAAAAAATCAATAATAATTTTTGGGTACATTAAGGGACATCAAAGCACAGCAAATTATTCACATTAAAATATTTTCTTAGGTTTCGCTGAAATTGGCTTTTGTACCGTTGACCGCGACCACACACTTATATTTTTGTCCCCTGCGAATGCCTGGGTTTTTTTGCAATTAGCTGGAAAGTGAATATTTTCCCCAAAATCATCTCTTGGCACCAATTACTGGGCTATTTAAGAGTTTTAAGTTATGCATATTGTGAAATTAAAAATCCGTTTCACAATATTTTGACTATTTTTTCTGTTTAAATTCTTACAAATATGCCGTGCGACAGCATGGAAATGCTCATGTGGGCAGTCGTAAGCCTTGCAAGTGGTAAAAAAGGTCAAAGTTAGAGGGATTTAAAAATCCTATAAAATAGCACTTGATTACCAACATTGATAATGAATGCAAAGGTCGATTTTGGGGAACGGTTCATTTTCGGGATTTGTGAAATAAAGAACAACGTATTTTCGCGGGACTGAAGTATGAGTGGCTTTCGCCAATTCAAACTTAGATTTACGCGAAAATTGAGTCAATATATTGATGCGAATTTCCGATAAATGTTGTACGCAGAAATGATTTGTAGTTTCTTTTTAAATTTAGTTTAAGCCTCTGTCGCTCCTTATATCGCATGCGACATTTCGCAAGGGACAGAAATATCTTGGCTTAATAAAGGCTTAAAATATACCATTGACCGATATTGAGCAAACTTCTAGGAAAAACTTTTAGCGAGAATAAGTTTTCCTATAAGAGTCAAAAAGTCAAGGAAAACAGGACTGTAAAAATACCGAAATAATACCAAAAATACCGAAATAATAACCAACGAGGGGGAACGTTGTGAGTTGCTGCGGACACCGCAACTCTACAGTTATACCCGATACTAAGTCAGTATGGCTCTCCTCTGGCAGACGCCGCTAATATTAAACGACACGACAAAGAGTGCGTGCGAGAGAGACAGAAAATCAGTCTGAGCGTGACGTCGGGTGCTGCGTAGCCACTGCAAATTGATTTGTTCCTTTTGGCTATAAAAATGATCTGATCTGATCCAGATTCTGCGTTTCTAGTTTTCTCAAATCTGCAATATTGTGGATGCAACAGATTTTCGTCCTTTGTGGGGGCGGAAGGGGGTGTGGCGAAATTTTGAGATATACGTTTTATAGTGAGATCTAACAGAAGTGCGGATACCAAATTTGGTTACTCTAGCCTTAATAGTCTCTGAGATTTATGAATATCCCCAGATCTGTATCCTTTGCGGGGGCGGAAGGGGGTGTGGCGAAATTTTGAAACAAACTCGTCTCGGTCCGATATATTAGGAGTGTGGATACCAAATTTGGTTGCTCTAGCTTTTATAGTCTCTGAGATCTAGGCGCTAATGTTTTACTCTAAGCAAAGGCGCCTATGCTACGTGTGTGTTAGAGAGAGACAGGGCGAGAAAAAATGAAATTGTTTTCTTGATGCTGGCTATAATAATAATACGATCCAATTCAGATTCCGCAGTCTAAAAGATATCGTCATTCTCTACGATTCTGCGGTTGGTTTTCTCGTATCTTTAAAATTGTGGATGCCACAGATTTTCGCCCTTTGTGGGGGCGGAGGTGGGCGGGGCAAAGTTTTGAAATATTTTTGTAGCAGTGACATATCACAGAAGTCTGGATCCAAAACATCGTTGCTCTAGCTCTTATAGTCTTTGAGCATTAGGCGCTGAAGGGGACGGACAGACGGACAGACGGACGGACGGACAGACGGACAGACAGACATGGCTCAATCGACTCGGCTATTGATGCTGATCAAGAATATATATACTTTATAGGGTCGGAAACGATTCCTTCTGGACGTTACACACATCCACTTTTACCACAAATCTAATATACCCCAATACTCATTTTGAGTATCGGGTATAAAAATACCGGAAAAGTGAAGATTTGCTTATTTGCATAGGTTTTGAGGACAAAGTTAATAAAATTATATGCCAATTGGTTAAATTAGAGATTCAATATTTTTAGAAAATAGTATCGAGACAAATGTTTTTGGAATAGTGATTTTATAAACTTTAATTTGAATGTGCTCGTTGGACTTTTTGCCGAAAACGGCCTTATGTTAAATTTCTTCTCACAGATATCCTGGATTGGGTGGAGGTGAAGTATCTGCTTATTTCTGGTATTATCTACTTGCTGATGCTGTTTTTCGCCAATTACATTACCACAGTGTGGTATGGTCTGAAATATATTTTGTTTTGCTTGTGTTTAAAAAAAAAGCCTGCAAGCGACGATGAAGATGTGGTTGCTGCGGCCGAAAGGATAAGTAAAATGTCGACCGAGGATCGCAAGAAACATGCTCTGGTCCTGAAACGTGTCTCGAAAAGATTCTGTTGCGTGTCTGCCGTGAGGGGAATATCCTTCACTGTCAAACCGTGAGTAGTGGACTAAACAGCAGCCATAGTAATAACTAAACCTCAAATTCACTGCAGGGGCGAGTGCTTTGGTCTGCTGGGTGCCAACGGGGCCGGTAAAACGACTACCTTTAAGATGATTGTAGGCGAGATATCCTCGACGATGGGGAGTATTCATGTCAGAGGCTACAGCCTCAAATGGAGTCCCACAGCTGCGAGGAAACAGATCGGCTACTGCCCCCAGCACGACACGCTCTTCGACTTCTGCACTGGCCGTCAAACACTCAGGATATTCCTTTTGCTGCGCGGCACACCCCGGAATCTCGTCACAGAAGCATCTGAAAAGCTGGCCTCCGACTATGGCTTTTTCAAGCACCTGGACAACAAGGTCAAGGACTACAGTGGCGGCACGAAGCGAAAGTTAAACGCAGCGGTGGCCGGTGAGGGCTCATCGCTCATTTGTCTGGACGAGCCCAGCTCTGGAGTCGATCCAGTGTCCCGGCGGCATGTGTGGAATGTCCTCTCCTCACTGCGTGACAGCGGGAAGGCAGTGTTGCTTAGCTCCCATAGCATGGAGGAGGTGGAGGCCCTCTGCACTCAATTGGCTATTATGGTGGATGGGAAAATTAATTGCCTGGGGTCACAGCAGCGCATCAAGAATAAGTTAGCCCAGGTTCTGGTGCTCAAGTTAGTTGTGGAGACGAATCCGGAAAGGTGAGTAGGAATTTAAAGAGTCTCCAACGGCCGTATAAATTGAACCCTCAAATCCACCCACACAGCACGGCCCACACTCTACAGAAGATAAAGAATCAAATGAATTCGGACTATCCCAATTCATGGCTAGAGTAAGTTGTATTCGGACCAGCCAAACATACCCCTAATGGTGGCTCTTTCAGGGAGGAGTTCGGTGGCAGGCTCACTTACCACATACCCACTGACAAACTGCGATGGTCGAGAGTATTTTTATACATTGAGAAGAATCAGAGCAGCTGGAAGGTGGCGGACTATTCTCTGGCGCAGCCGTCTCTGGAAGATTTATTTCTGGACATTACCAAGAAGAAGTCGAAGAAGAAGAATCAAAGCAGGCAACCGTAGAGTAGTGCCACCATTATGGACTCTCCGAAATCAGACTATCCCAACTGTAACAATGTATAGTGACGACTACTCGATCAATTTACATCAAATATGTATCCCTCTAATGATAGGCGAAGTGATTCGTTTTGTTTTTTGACTCATACTTGGTTTTGAATTTATATGAGTTTTAATAATTTATAAAATAATATCGAGACAAAAGTATATTTTGGCACCGGTTCAAATCTTTACGGAAATGTCCATATATTAATTTTATTACTGTTCGGTTTGAAGGTATATCTAAAGTTTATGTTAAAATTGCGTTGTGTCTCCAGTATGTTCTATATCATTGGGGGAAGGTAGCTCTTGAGAGCAAGCGGGAAGCTTTACCAAACAAATTAAATTAATTAATGTATTAATCTGTTATTTAAACAGATTCCGATTCAGCAAAAAGATGCCAGTTGTAAAATCAAAGTTCCGCACGTTTTTACGCCGTCTACATATTCTCTATTTTTAGCGAGACCAAACACCTTCCCATAAAACTTGAATTCAATTTCAAAGCAATCTGAATAAACAATATTAAAACAAATAAAAATAAAGTAAATGGAATATATGGGGAAGGTGACACACTGTCCCTTTGTTCGAAGATAGCAACTGTGCAAGAACTTTTCTACATTTAAGTTGTTGAATACTTTCGTTCTTTTTTTTCCATTAATGGAACTATAAATACTAGCGGACTGTGCCTTATTCGATCAGTAGTAGCTTCCAGTGGATGCCGAGTAGATCTCAACATGTTTTGGTTGCGCCTTGCTCTTGTTTTTCTAGCCGTTTGGCTTGCACTTGTCTCTGTAAATTCCGAAGAATCGAACCCGAAGAATCTGAAGACATTAGAGATGCTGGATGAACGCGAAAGTTTGTTAACCAGGGATTTCCACAAAAACTAATGATACAATGAATTCCAATCCACTCAGGAATCTGCCGGAAAGGCCGGACCTATGGCTCTTGTAAAGGAAAACGCAAAATGTGGAACTTCAATTTCCGCCGCAATGAATGCTTTCCATTTGCTTATTCGACCTGTGGCGGAAACCGAAATCGCTTCCACAGCCATGAGGCATGCATGAAGTTTTGCAGCAAAACGCACTGGGAAAATCTGACCCAGGTAGATAAGGTTTATCCTGCTTGAGCTCTAGTTTTTTTTTTAATCTACTAAAATGCTCAAAAAAGGCAAACAAAAACTGAAATTCCGCTGATGATTTTTTAAAAATTATGATAAGTGATCGGAGAAAGTACAACTCAAATTTCTTGTGCAATATATTATTGCCACTAGACAGACGTTCTCGGTAGATTCTTTTTAAACGCTCTGAAAGGGGGTTCAGCAGTCATATAGCCAGAAAAAATAGTTCTCAACCACTTAAAGCATCCTTACCTAAATCCATATGAAAGATTACCTTGATCTCAAAAACAATAAGAGCACAAAAATCAGTAACATTACTAAGGTCCCCTTATTACGGGCTAAGCAAATGGGAAAATGGTCATTCCTACCCAAATACTTTGGCACATAAAAGCTTTTGAACACATATCTTAAAAGCCAGTTGGGAATGAGCTTCTTTGATTAATCAGCTCATTTCTTTATCATTGTTGGAACTATAAATGCCAGACGCCTGTGCCTCAGTCGGTCAGTAGCTAACAGGGCTCCAACGATAGATCTCGAAATGTTCTGGCTACGCCTTCCCCTTGTTTTTCTAGCCGTTTGGCTTGTTTTTGGACACCGCACAAACACACAGTCCAACTTAGACTTCGAGCGGCAGGATCAGGAGGAAAAGAAAAGGACGAAAATGCAAAAAGGTTTGTTAGCCCGAAATTTTTCCAGTAATGAATGATACGATTCCCCGGTTCGGCTCAGCTATCTGCAGCATGGACCCGTCTTTTGGCGGGTGCAAGGGCCATCGCTCAATGTGGTACTATAATAACTTAATGGGTAAATGCGAGCGGTTCACTTATTCGAACTGTGGTGGCAACCGAAATCGTTTCTACACCTATCAGGAATGCAGTGAGCGGTGCTATTTCAGCTCACAATAATTTTAATAAAATATAACTCAGTTTCTCTTAAACTATGATCTAATATTACTGATATTATAATTGGTATACTACTTATTATAATATATCCTGTCTTGTATGTATGTGCTATTTTATTGGACTCCCATAAAGATATAGACTCCTAGAGTACAAGGATATTGTTTTATTAAAGAAACACGGGTTTAACAACCAGAAAGAAGAGTTTCGACCACATAATGCATATTTAGGGTAGTCGTTTGTTTGGTTGTTAGAATACTCAGATCTCAGAGACTATAGCTTAGTTTTTCAGAACCACATTTTTTTTACAAAAATCATTGCATGATAGTCTGTCAAAAGTTCGTATAAACAGAATTCGACTTGCACAAGTTTCTATGAATTCGGCTCTATTTTAGTAAATGGTGGGGCTCATTCAATTAAGGTACATAAAGGACTTAAAGTTTCAAGTATTTTATGGCACACCAAAAAATATAGAATCAACTGAAGCGCTGAGGTTGACTAATCCGTAACATTTATTTTATTCCCTGAATTTCAATTACTTTCCACCTTAAAGTTTTTGGCCAGTTTTGACAACTAATGGGTGGCCGGAAAACCCTGCTTGGACGGCACGAGTATAAGTGCCAGAAAATTTGGGCCGGCGTTGGTCAATGGTTTGTCGTGGGTGCTAGGAAGTTCTCAATGGCGGTAAAGTAGTATTGGTATCATTATATTTCTCCAAAATCGAATACTAAAATAAATTCACTTCGATCAGATCATTCCCTCACGATTCCGGACTACGGCAGATGTAAGGGTCGTCAGGCAAAGTGGTTCCACGATGGCAAAAGGAAAAAATGCCAGCCTTTTATAAATTCGGGCTGTGACGGTAAGCACAATCGTTTCGAAATATATGAAGAATGCGACGAATTTTTTAAATGTAAGTATTTACACGCTGCCTTCTGCCTTAAAAACACACACAGAAAAACTTTTATTGCAAAAGTTAGAATCCAGCTGGGAGATAATTTGTGGAGAAAACACACCACTAATGGTTCTTGCTCTGACTAATGCTAATGGGGCATTCATGGAAGGCTCTACAAATGTAAGACGTTTGGGCTTGAGTCTTTCATTGAGTTTCCGTGGGTTCTATGAAGATCTCAAAATGTTCTGGATGCGCCTTGCTCTGCTTTGTGTAGCCGCTTCCCTTGTGTACGCCAAAAAAGACATCCCGCGGGAGAAGATTGTGACAATGGATTTACATTTACGAAATGGTTTGTTCCCTTGAAAATTTACGCGAAACCTGATCATTCAATTTCTGCATCGCTCAGAGATATGCAACAAAAGCCCCTCGTATGGTAAATGTAAAGGACGTCGCGTTTTGTGGTACTACAATGCCTACCGCCGTAAATGCGAGCATTTCATCTATTCAAACTGTGGCGGCAACAACAATCGGTTTCACACATATAAGGAATGTGCCGAATTTTGTCTCTAATGACAAATCGACTCCTAACATATATCTGTTTCTTTTGTAACCATAAATATATTTGTCTAAATAATACAAGTTACAATTTCCAATATACGACGGATACTATGAAGGGATACTAATAAAATTGTCGAGTCCCTGAATAATCTATAACTGATTAGAGTGCCCATTAGTGGTATAATTCATTTGCTCAGAAGCTGAATCCAAGCAGACTTCCTTTGCCTTCAACAGAGCATGATCATGATCATGATACTGCTTTTCGGTGTTGAAAACGGTGTTGACAATTGTATGTGTTTGTACGTTCAAGTTTTTACTTGTATAGCCATCGGAAACGGATCCATAAATTGAAATGAGATTTCTATAGCTGGTAGCTTCAAGGGCAGTCTTGATTTGTACCGGGAGAATCGATGACACTATTTCTGACCACTGTTCCCACATTGAGTAATGCAAGAGTATGTACGTTTCCACATCGAAAGTTTTGGATCACTTGGGATGCTTAATTTAGAAGCCAGCTGGGAGAAAACTTTTTGCTTTGTAGGAAGCCCTTTCTTTCATTCAACGCTGGGTGCTCCGTGAACTATAAATGGCAGAAGCTTGGCTCTGAGCTGGTCATTCGCTGGCAGGAAGATCTCATCTCAATATGTTATGGTTGCGCATTGCAATTATTTCTTTGCTCGCTTGGATTGTGTATTCCGCAGTTAATAAAGATATTTTTGAGGATAATTGGTTTAAGGAGCTTCAACGGAAGTTACACAAAGGTTTGTGTTCAATAAGATTTACCCCATGAAGTAACTATATTTACGTAACGTTTACGTTCCGCTCAGAAGTCTGCCTCCAGCAACCTTCCTATGGCAAATGCAAAGGACATCGCCGGCTTTGGTACTTCAATGGCAGTCGGAAGAAATGCGAGACGTTCATCTATTCGAACTGCGGCGGTAACCACAATCGTTTTTACAACTATGAAGATTGCCACGACTTTTGCCAAAAACACGACCCGTTTACTATCTATAAATCTATACAAATGAATGATTGGGTAAAAGGGTATATAAAATAGCCTAATAAAATAAATATTCTTTCTTGAATCTAAAACACTTGAATCCAATTTTGTTTGATCTTATAAGCAGAATCTTATTGAGGATTGGTGATTATTTTTCTCCACAAACATTTTTTTTCTATATGAAATGATATAGTGATTTGGTTTATTAAATATATTAATATATTAATTATATTAATTAATAATATATTAAATATGAATTGAAATATTCAGATTCAAGGAAAAATTGTTACAAATTTGATGGATCTAGATTATGGTAAATATGGTAAGGAGAATGTAAAAGTTTTAATGATCATCTCCATCCAGAAGGAAAGATAGTTTTAAAGAAACAGACGGACCCGCCTTTATTCATTAAAATATTCACTCATTCTTTCCTCTCTGTAAAATTGGGTAACACAAATCGAGAAACTCTCGATTTTTAAGGGAGTAAGAATTTTCACTCGAAGCAGACCTTTCTTTTTTCTGGTTTGTGAATCTAAAGTGCCGTGGAAACGAGTAAGATGTGCGATTGAGCAACTGCTCAAAGACCTTTCCACATAAAAGTTTCGGATCACTTCGCTTGCTAAATTTAGAAGGCAGGTAGAGGAATGTATTCTTCAGAAATCTTTATTTTCATTGCCGGCCAATATAAGGGCCTGAAGCTTGGACCTAAGTTGCTCATTGGCTTGCTCTTGGTGCTAGGAAGACCTTAACATGTTTTGGGCGCGCATTGCTCTTGTTTCTCTAGTCGCTTGGCTTGTGTATGCCCGACGCGGTGAGATCTTGGAGGGCCCTAATGTGATGAAGGACAACAAATTCAACAAAGGTTTGTTTTCTTGAGATATTTCAAAAATGTTCGGCTAATATGATGCCAGTTTCCGGTGTGATCAGCTGTTTGCCTGCAGGAGCCATCCTATGGCGAATGCAAGGGACGTCGCTCCTTGTGGTACTACAATTCATTTACAAATAAATGCGAGATGTTCATCTATTCGAACTGTGGTGGCAACGGAAATCGCTTCCTCACCTATAAAAACTGCGAGAGACTTTGCCGCATACCCAAGTGGCATTCTAGTATGTTTGTAACTGAATGATTGAAAAAAGATAAACATATTCCATAAATGTTGATAATAATAATGATCTGTTGCTCCATTTCTCTTTCCATTCTTCCACTTCTTTTGATTTACTTTACTTTTTCAAGAAACATTTTTCATTTAACAACATAAATATATGAGAATCGGGGATGGGATAGAGGCTACCGTGCAGAGAGATACTCGAGGAATAGGAATAAGATGAAATGGAAAAGAGAATAGAAAGGAAGAACGAGGCAGAGTGCGACAGCCAGATTTTCCAAGCTATACTCGAAAGCGCAACAATGCTGATTCGCATAATAATCAATAAACGTTACTAGAGCTACAAATTTAATACAACAAATTTCGTCTCTGAATTTCTTACAAAACCGTAGGCCACATGTTTAAATCCATGTCCGTCGCTCCGTCTCACATTTCAGGCCATTTCAGCTTGGTAAATTTATAACTTCTGAATGAATGAAGATATATTCAAGAAATAGACTGCATTTGAAAGAAATATCTAACTAATTGGTGCTCAGTGAAATATATGTATATATGAGCGTTTTCCTCTAACCTAAAAATCCGATTTTCGATCCGAAGTTTCAATTTTCGAAAGCCTTGGAAAATTCTTTATCAGATTATTATATTCACATCATACATATAAGCGTTCACTCAGAAAACTTACATTTTCCACCTCTTTTCGGCTGAGGCCCCACTGTGCCTCTGTAAGAACACCTGGATTTATGCAATATTAAGAGCTCTAGGCATTTAGAAAACAGTTGGTAGATAATTTATGGAGCTGTCCCCTAAATTGTTGTCATTGTTCTGACTATAGGCGGGCCCTCCATGGTTGGCACTATAAATGACAGAGGCCCGTGCCAGAGTCTGTCATTGGCTTGTCGTGGGTTAAACATACGAGGATCTCAAAATGTACTGGATGCGCCTTATTCTGGTGGTTTTAGCCGCTTCGCTTGTGTATGCCAAGAGACTTGACAAGGACGATTCAGGTTATAACGATAGAAAAACACGATTTGGTTTGTTAACTTCACAATTTTCCCAACAATGTTTCATAAAATTTTTGTGGTCAGCACAGGTATCTGCAGCCAAAGACCTATGTATGGCAATTGCAGTGGACACCGTAAACTATGGTACTATGATGTCATCGGGAAAATATGCGCCCAGTTCATCTATTCGAACTGTGGCGGCAATCAAAATCGTTTCTACAGCATGGGGGAATGCATGAGTTTTTGTGTAGGCTAAGGATATGTTAATATGATATATAGAATTAAGATGGAATTCAAATAAAACGGATCTCTAAGTGCGAAATAAAAAACAGTCGTCCAACTTTTCAAATGTGTACGGTAAACACTAATTACAAAAATATCTGTCCTAGGATTGGGAGAATTTGAACAAAAGTCTTGAAATTGTAGCTAACAAATTTTGTTGGAATTATTGAACTAGTTCTTTGTTCCCTTTTTTAGCCATCACTCATTTCAATTAGCCGGGCGCACTGTTCTAAGAAAAATGTACTTATAAATACCACAACATCTGTTGCAAATCAGTTCAGTCGACATTCTGACCTTCTAGGGGAAAATATAAAATATGAGATATCCTCGAGCTTCAATTGGACTGCTGATCGTGCTGGTTCAATACTCCTTGGCCCCTGATCCGTTACAGAAGAGTAAGCCATCAGTGATCAAGGAAATACCAGAACTAATGCTGTGATTTCTTACAGGGATTTGTGCAATGCGGGCCGAATATGGAAGATGCGACGGGCATACCTTGGTCTGGGCCTACGATAAAAATAATAATGAATGCGTTGAATTCGCTTACTCTACCTGTGGTGGCAATCGGAATCGTTTTTCTACTTATGTAGAGTGTATGTTAGCTTGTGCTGTTTTCGAAAAAAATGATGAATATCAAGACACATTTACAATGAGAATATACACATAAAGAGGCATTATGAACGAACCATACAACTATAAAATGTAATGTTTTTTCTACAGGTGAAAAATAGTTACGACTCAAGTTTAAATATCTTTCACAAGTGCGGATTAACTTAACGGCCTGCAGTAACTATAGTATTTGTTCCAAAATAACTGCATAGGTATTCGGTTTGATAGCCCCAAACACATTTCCATTTGAAGCCAAAAGTAATCCATTGCAAGCCATAAATACCCAAAATATGTCTGAAATCCAGTTCAGTGCACATTCAGAGTTCAGCAGGGCCGAAAGATGCGATTGCTCGGAGTTTTACTTGGCCTAATGGCCGTGCTACTGGCAGCGGTTGAGTTTGTAGCCAGCGTTTCATTGAGAAAAAGTAAACTCTTATAGAAAAATGTAGGTAATGGATGAAGGATTGATGATGTGATTTTCTACAGGGATTTGTTCGCTACGTCCCGAATATGGAGATTGCGAGGGACATCGCCTGTTGTGGGCCTACGATTCGATGGATGGAAAATGCCGTCAATTTGTGTACTCTAACTGTGGCGGCAATCTGAACCGTTTCTTTAACGAAAGAAATTGTTATCGGACGTGTCAGGATTATACGTATGTAGGAGTCTCAGGCCAAATGATGCCCTATGAGAGAAACTAAAATATTCATTACTTTATTCATGAATGTGCAACCTAGCGATTGAAATAAAGGCATGGATTGCTAGCCTTTCGACCACTTTTCAGTGCACACGTTTTGTTGGCGTCTGGCGGTTTTTTTGGTACAACTCATAACAGGCACCCAGCATTCGGATTATCAGATCAGCAATGAAAAAAAGCTCTTGTCCAGTATTGCTTTCTCCCACACAACCACACACACCACATACACAGTCATCCACCCACACACAATACAAAATGGGGGGATGGGACACATTTGATTGTCAAGGGCTGGGCAAACATTTCGTTGCTTGCTGGCATTTGGAACAGGGGAACAGCTTTCAAAGCAACGGCCGCGCCGGTCTCGGCCGCAATCGAAGCGAAATGAAAGCTCACGAAAAAGTTTGTTGGCATTTATACGCATTACTCGTAAAATACAAGGGCATATTGGGCTATCTCGGATCTTAGAAACAGGCTGAAGAAAAGTTTTCGATTTCTTCACTGACACAGCAGCAGTGCCTGAATGATCGTCGTTATAAAAGCTGCTGAAATTAATAGATCTACAGATGTTACATATTGTATGTCCCTGTCCCAAATAATAAGTATACCTTATTCTAGGGTGTCCTGAGGTCGGATTATAAACTAAAGCAAGACTTCTGGGTTTTGTTTGGTTTGTTTTGGACGTACTTTGTTGTGTGCTGTGCCGTTAAAGGCATAAATCAGTTGGAAGAGGGCAAAATGTGCAAGTTTACAGGTTGACTCTCCCCTCCGCTCCATGCGCAGAGGCACATTACGAGCATGGAAGAACTGGCAATGGCAATGGAAATGGAAATGGCGAAATCAAAGAATAAAGTCACGCAATTTCAATTACAAATAAACGCACATCCAGAGAAATGGCAAATGGTACTGTGTAGACGAGACAGAGGGAGGGTGGGCAGTCCTGATGGTAACGATATGTACAAACCCGTACATATCCCCATGACTATAGTAATAATAATAATAATAATAATGAAATTGTGATAAGCTGTGCGCCACAAATTGCACGCAAGTGAGACGGGGAGAGACAATAACTTAAACCGTTAAGCGCAAGATGAAGCATCAAATGCAGCCAGCCGCCTAGCGATGGGTACGTGACACGATGGAAAAAGATTGCTTACGAATATACATTTTTTGCACTTATTCTCCTTCTAATGTATCCAAAACGCTCCTTCATTTCCAGTCCCCTTTACTTGTCCCGTGGTAAGCCAAGTAGATTCTTTTAAATCCCACCTCTAGTATGATGTTGTCCGATGCTCAGGTCCCAGGTTGCTCAAAACGTCGTCATTCTGGCTGGACAGACTCTTTGCCTATCCTATCCTATCCTATCCTATCCGCTGATGCCTGGCAACATTTGACACATGCGCGGCGCGCATTTAGTTTCCAGCAACATTGGCGTATGAGTGCGGCTGGGCCGGGGTTCGGGCCGAGCTTTGGTGTTGGCCAATGCCAATTAATATTCGCATGATCAAATGGTTAACGCATTTAGCCTTATAGAAAACCAACAAGACATCGCCAGGCCGTCCATACCGCAAACCGGCTCACATTAAACTCGCATTTACGCGTATGCCTTTGTGTAACTGATCGCGCGCTCTCTCTCTCTCTCTCTTTCTCCCCCTGTCGGCCCCACTGTGTAGCTGTCTCTTTCTGCATTGGGGAGGCCAGTGTGGGAAAGTGCACCTTAATTGACATCATGAGGCGTTTAAATGGGGAGACCTGACCCGTTCAAGAGTTAAACAACTTGTGGCTTCAGTTAATTATGTATTTATTTAGTATTCTCCTTCAATTTCTGTTTTTGCTCCTTTTGTAATTTGTATTTATTTCTCTTTTATGGGGGGTTTTTGCTCTTCGGATTATCGTCAGCTTTCAATTTGTTGTATATTGTGTATGTGTGTGTATATATATATATATATAATGGTTTTTATTAAATTTCTTTAGTAATGGGCTAGAATATGATTTCGCATATAGTTTAGTAAAATTGATTTATATCCGGGATGAGGAGGAGTAAGGTGAAGGAGGAGGGTGTTGTCTTTTTATGGCATAACAATCTGTTGAGTTGCCCAAGAGAAATTGGATTAAGATGATCTTTATCGATCTCCGTTTTTGTATTAAGTAGGTAGGTACTTAATGGAATCTGTTGTACCAGAAGCAGGCTAACATTTAAAGCATTTGCATACATCGATAGAGTAGAATCGTTTCGAGAATAAATTATGAATACAATTTCTAAGGAAAACTTCAACTCAAGAGAATGATTGAGAGGATAACAACAACAAGGCCTGGCCTTAAACCCAAATAAAATGTTTTACAATTTAACAACTAAGGGACTAGTTAAAAATTCCATTCGTTTTAAAAATTCGTAAAATATGCTCCAAGAAAGATACTTAAAATGTAAATACATGCATACATACATACTCTTCACATCGATGTAGTCAATTTTCATTAATGATGATTTTGTAAGCAACAATTTGCTTATAACTTGATGCGTTGTCTGTACTTTAATTTGATTCGATTCGCTTAAATATTCAATTAAAAATTATATAACAACACACGCATACATATCGGTATTAGGTATTAGTCGTATGTATATAGTATATAGAGTAAATGTGGATTAGCCAATAGATTATAGATCTCCATGAATGTGGGATATGATTTTTGCATTGCTTTGTATTTTAATTTGAATTTTTATTTAAATTCAATTCTTTGTTTTATCGTATATGAAATATGCAGCATTCAACATCGATAAAATTGTTTAATAAGCCAATATATTTTTAAATTTGTTTGTAATTCTCAATTGTTTTGTTTTTTTTCATATCTTTTTTAAAAATTTGCTAAAACATTTTCATATATTTTGTTCGTTCTTTCTTTTTTTACTTTGTAAATGCAATTATTTTTATACGCTTGGTTTTACGGGAAAAAATTCAAAATGCATCTAATGATAATCTCCGATGAAAGGAAAGAAGTTTTGGTTTTTTTTTTTCATTTTTTGTGGAAGTTTTGAAGCTCGAAAAAAGCCTTGTGTTCTGTTGTGCGTTTCTTTTAAATTGAAAAAATTGTGCCTTTTGTTAAGAGTCTTTTTGTTCTATTCGTTTTGTAGTTGTTCTTTGGCCATTTGAAAATGTTTCTTTTGGGAAAACATTTCGTATAAAATGCAAGAACTACGATCCGGAAGTTGTGTAGTTTCCATCTTAGAAAAATTCCATCTAACTAGAGCTTGAACAGGGCCCCATAGTTGGTGAGGCAAAGTAGCTTGGAGCAGAGACTGCGACTGCGACTGTGTTTGGGATTGTGGCTGAGATTTAGATTGAGACTGCGACCTGGCCTGAGTGGTGCCGGTGCCGGTGCCGGTGGTTGCTTTGCTTGGGCTTGAACTGCAGCCAGGTCCTCGCCCTATTTCCCACCACAGTACTCGCCCAGCAGCATGCCATTATCCAGGAGCAGCGCTGGCGTGGCGGCAATCCCATCGCGCAGCGCCAACTGGTAGGCCACCTCGAAGGCTTGTCCCAGCGTCAGTATAATCTCACTTGCCAGATCCTGCGTGGCGAAATAAATTAGATTTACCAAGGGATTAGAGGACCCTTAGAGTTTCTGGTAGCTGATTTACTTACTGTGCTTTGGACCTGAAACACATGGCAGTAGTGCAGATCCTGCTCTTTGGTGATGTAGGCAAAGTGGCGCAGATCCTCCGAGTCCTGGCAGGCGCAGTTGATGTTCTGTATCTCATGCTCGCAGATGATGCGCTATGTGAGGCGGGTATTCTTATAGAGATAGTAAATATGGCTCAATCTCTGTGAGGGACTTACCTTGCTGCTCACATCGATGAACTCTACCCCGCGATGGCTGATGGCCAGCGAGAGTGGTGACCCCGATTTGCCTTCACCTTCGCTAGAGGCTTTCAGCTTTTGTATGGACTTCTTAGTGGACTCTGTGCCACGTAGTTCTTTCACAACCGTTGAGCCGAGGTACTGTAGGAATGTGTTTATTTTTAGCTTTAGTTTCCTCTTACTAGAGATGTCTAGAGAGAACACCTACCTGGACCTCGTAATTGATGTGCTCGTTGAGCAAAGTCTGGGCCGAGTGGCGCCATTCGGTGGTCCGGAGATTGGCTGGCAGACCCAGCAGCAGCTCTGAGGGTGCCCGTATGTGGAGTGGTGCAGTGGATGGCACCGCTTTCCTCGCCGGAGGAGCCGGTGGTGGTGGTGCAGGTCTTCAGTGGATGTAGATGATATAGATGAGAAATATTCATTTCAACTTTAGAAAGTTCTGCATTCTTACCGACTCTTGCGATAACCCGTGATGGAATTGCGATGCTGCACAGGATTGGGGGGTATCCTGGCTGCTACCGCCTCCTTGTTGCCATTGCCGTTCGTTGTCAGCTGATTGGTTTCGTTGTTTTCGCCCAGCGGCGTCTTCAGGGACGCCTTGGAGTCGCTGTCCCGCATCTGTCGGATGTATGCCAGGGACTGCAGGATGCGTCTGCGATGGCCCAGCTTGTTGATCTCCAGCACCGTCTGCAGCTCCACATCCCACACACCGCACACGCTCTCGATGGTGTTGTACAGATGTTTGCTATACGAGATCGATTTGATCGATTTTAATAGATAACTCTTAGGAGATGCATGCCAGCTTACTTGAAGAACTCTAGGTATTCGGGCAGGGCGATGCTGTGGAGCCACTGTTGGAGCGTGGCTACGCCCTGTTGCTTGTTCTCCTGCTGCGTTTTGATGGGGACCTGCGGCTGGAACTCGGCAGGCGGAAGGGTCTGGACGAAGCGCAGCAGCTTCGGTGCATCACGCTCGGGAATGTGCAACAAGGGAATATCCGGCTCCTCGAAGACATTGTGCTGTGTTGGGGCAGGTTGAAGATCAAGTACCCTAGATATAGCTGAGCTGAAACTTACCACAAATTTGTAGCTATCATAGCCATTCTCGAAGAGCATCCTCTCCAGATGCAGCAGTCCCGCGGTGCGCAGACGCGTGGCCAATTCCCGACGCTCGTTGGGCACCTCCATGTCCTCGAAATCCAGCTCAATGTCGTGTGTGGGCGTGATGCTGGTGTTGAGGATGCCGCTGCCAAAGTTCTCAATAATCTCAGAGATCTTCTTGCGCGCCTCCTCCGCATTGAAGGGGCTGAGCAGATTGATCGAATTCCGTGTGGCAGCCGAGTGCCCGCTGCCCGGAGACTTGGCTGGGGATTTCCCAGCTGATTTTGTGGGCGATTTCGAGGGGGAACGGCGAGGTGCCAAGGGAGCAGCCGCTGCGTCCATTGCAGAGTTGCCATTGGCCTCCAGCGTTTGCGGTGACTGCTGTTGCTGCTGCGCTTGATTAGTGGGCGTGGTCGGGGGCTTGATGAACTTTCTCTCCGGAACAGCTGGCTTGGTGGGTAAGGGGGGGCGCACACGGGGCATGGGCTTCTGCAGTTGCTGCTGCTGAGGTTTTCCCTCCTCTGGGACCTGCACGAGCACCTGCACCGTGGGTTGCAGCTCTCTGGGCTGTGACACGGAGCCCTTGAGCAAACCCGCGAAGGGCACATCACTCACAAACTCCTCCACATAGTCCGTGGAGTGGGACAGGCTGTGCTCCGAGGAGCAAGAGATGCTCGAACTCAAAGAGCCCGAGCTGGGGGCCGGACAGCGGGGCACCACCGTGACCGCATCATCGTAGTCGTAGCCGGGCGTGCCCAGCGTGGGCAGTAGCTTCGATGGCGATGACCCCGTCTCGATCATCAGCTGCTGTGCCGCCTGCAACTGCAGCAGGGCCGAGCGACGCTTGTACTCCTGACTCAGCGGACGTATCCGTTCGTGGATGGTGCGCTCCGCCTGGCTGGAACTGGGCGGAGGATGATCTGGCGTCGGCGGCTGCTTGTAGTGGGTGGGACTGCTGGGTATCTGCTGCTTGGCCTCGCAGTTCTCGTCGGCGGCATCTCCACTCGATTTGCTGGCCACATTGGCGCTGTGGGAAATCGAACATATAGTAGCTCTTTGATTTCCCATAAAGGCTGTCCCTTACCTGCTGTTACGATTCCGCTTGAGCTTCCGGTTGGGATTGTACGACTTGAGGGTGGCACTCTCGCAGGACTTGAGCAACTCCTTGGACAGCTTGGTGGCCGCACTTCGCGGTGCCGGAATAGGGCGTTTCATGGAGCTGGTCGCTGGCGACTCTCCGCTGGAATTCGGGACACTTGTCTCGCTGTTCAGCTCCGAGCTGCTGCACTGTCGATCCAGCATGTCATCTGGAAGATTATCTTTATAAGCTGTGCATCAGAAGAGCCCTAAATAGCTCTACTTACTGCTGGAACTGAGGCTCACTCCCCCGGCTATGGCGGAGCGTGTACTCTGTCTGGCACTGGCATAGAGTCGATCGCTTCGCTGTCTTTCCCTCAGCTGCGTCTCATCGAAGCTCATGCCACCGACGCTGCCATGGCTCTGATGCGAGTACGGACTGTCGGTGGGTGGCGGGCGGCGCAGATTCTGCTGCTGCTGTCCCTGGCTGGAGCAGGGGGAGCTGTAGCTGAACTGCTGGCCCGATCCGGCATGTGTGGGCGACACGGAGAGATTCCGACGGGGCGGCTTCTTTGGCGGGCCAGCCGGGGCAAAGGTGCTCATCTGGAGGGGCTGTCCACCAACGCCCCCGGTGGAGCAGCGGGATCGGGGTGAGACCGAAGCCGGCTCAAAGCTGCTCAGCGACGACGAAGGACTGACACTGTAGCCTCCGACCATTTCGCTATAGCAAAGAAATCAGAGAGAAATCAGAAAAGTTACTCCAAAACAAACCCATCTCGCACTCACTTTTGGCTGTGCAGCGGCGAGTGCGCGTTGAGATCCTGGTAGAAACGATCCTCCGGTTGCAGGGCGCTGTCCAGGGACTTGCCTCCATTGTAGGGCCCCCCGCCATTGCCGGCACTCATCCGTTGCTTGCTGTAGACCGACTGCTGCATAGAGTGCGAGTGGTTCAGCAAGTGGTTGTTCGAGTTGAAGTGGTAGTGATTGCTGCTGTGCTGTGGCTGCTGCTGCTGCTGCTGCAGCTTCATATGCTGGCCCCCCCGCCCTGAGAGGGGCGGCGGCCCCGCGTGCTGTCTGTAGATGACCTCATCGACCTCATCGGTGTCCATTTGGTTGCGAAAGTCTGCGTGGAAAGAAAGCAATTTTGTATTAAAAAAAAGAATCTCAAGATCTCATTTAACAAGGAAAAATAAACTATTAATTAAATATTTTAATAATAAATATAATATTATTAACTAAATTTATCCAGAAAATGCATGTGTAACAGTACCCGGAATTTTACTTTAACAAAGATTAATAAGAAATAAAAAACAGGCTCTATACGGACTTACGGACAAAGGAATCGAATGAGTCTGGACTGGACACCGATTGTAAAACTTGTATTGGAACGACATGAAAACAAGCTGATCTGGCACCCAAGAGATTAATATACTTGAGGATCAAAGTGGCAAATGGACCGCGTCGCACTTATCTCTAAATGTGGTACGCTCCCACATGAATGGGGTCAACAATGTTCAAGTGTCGCTCCGATCAGATAAGTTTTTTTATTTTGCACTCAATAAGTACAAATGATTAATTAGCGGTTAGGTGAGCAGAAAATATATATCTCAAGGCTGATGTGTGGGTTGTTATGCAAAGATTACTCATACGCACTGTTGATCACTGCCACTATGTGCTTGGTCACATGCGGCGGAAACTCGCGCAGGATGTCCAGGGCAGTGCGTCCTTCGTTGTCCGTGGCTGATAGATCGATGCCAGCCTTCAGTAGGGTCCTCACAACATTCTCCTTGCCGCATAGCGATGCTTCGTGCAAGGCCGTGCCCGAGGGCGTCAGCAGATTGACGCTCACGCCCGCCGCCAGCAGCACCTCCACGACGCTCTTGTGTCCGTTGCGACTCGCCAGATGAAGGCAGGTGTGTGGAAAGATTGGCCGACTGGGGGAGGCTGGCGACGAGGGCGACCGTGTACCCCTCTCCATGGCCGCCAGGTGGGCGATCAGCTCGGGATGGGCGCGGATCAGCATTTGGACCGCCTGCAGGCGACCGTATTGGGCGGCCAGATCTAGGGGGGTTTCTCCCCGAGAGTTGCGCATATTGGGATCCGCATCGTGGCCCAGGAGGAGGGCCAGGGCACCGGTATGTCCATGCTGGGCGGCGCAGTGCAGCGGCGTTTCCTGCTCAATGGTCTGCAGATTGGCAGTGGCCGGTCGATACGGATGGGTGAGGAGCAATCGCACAATGTCCGTCTCGCCGGCCCAGGCGGCCAGATGGAGGGGCGATGAGCCACGGGAATCTGGAAGATTGGGCGAGGCATCGTTGGCCAGCAGAAGCCTCACTATATCCTCGTGGCCATTGAGGCAGGCATGATGGAGGGCCGAGTAGCCGCCGCTGTCCTGGACATTGACGCCAGTGCCACGGCGTAGGCTGGCAAGGGGTCCGGCCCTCTTAGCCTTCTGTGTGAGGACCTTCTCGATGTGGCTGATGTTGCCGTTGCGCGCCGCCTCCAGGAACTCCTGATCCTTGCCCATTGTCGCTGGATGTGGGGAGAGGCTGTAAATGGATTCTCGTTAATGGACTTCCATACACTCTTAATCGCTGACAGGTTTCAAGGACCTGCCTTCGGCCTCCCCCTCTGGCCTGAGTTGTTGATTTGCTGCAAATGAATTATGACTGTCAAGTGTGCTTCATTAAAACGCCGTCGGCTTTGTGGCAGGCTACAAGCGGCAGGTCGCCTTTTCTCTAATGACTTTTTGCATGTCTTTCCATTTAAGCGGGCACTCCCGCCCATCCCTATCCAGCAGCCCCACAGCCAGCCCTCGCCTCACTCAGGAGATGCCATTAAAAAAATTGCACAATGAGACACCAGAGTGGGGCTGGTGGCGGTCGCACAGCGAGTCACACAGGAGCCTTGCTCCTGATGAAGTGCTTTTCACGCGCTAGAATATCTTCGAGTATCTTTGATACTACGTAGTACGTACTACGTGACACAGTCGTGACAGGCACCATGGGAGTGAAATGCCGTTCTCAGACATCAAGTCTACGATATGACATTTTCGCAGTAATGTTTGAAGTTGATAGAGAAGAAAGAAGGGGATGGAATGTAGTGGAAATACCAGAAATTCTAGAGATTTTATGTTTATAGAGATAAAATATTTATGTTATGGTCTTTGTGTAGATTTTATAAAAGAGTAACCACTGAATGGTTCAAGTAATGAAATGAAATGTTCACGGTCTATGATGGCAGCATCACATTGATTGGAAAAGTTATAGGAAAATCACCAAGCTATAGACAAAACTTCAGAAATATGTATGATTAAAGCTGACGAAATCATGTATACAAAAAAATATATGTAAAGATATAATATTGCCGTTTTCCACACGATGTATGTGCTGCAACATTGCCTAGCAAAGATAACACATGTGTATTTATATTTTTACAGTCATCGTTGCGGTGCTTGTTGGTTTTCTGACAATACACAGATGTGTGATAATTTACATAAACCTGTCACACATTATATTTGGTTTTTAAGTCACTCAATAATGCATCGGAAAAAAGCTATAGCCAAATGGCAAAGTGTGAAATATAATAACACACAAAACAAACATGATGCCCAAGATTCATTGCACAGGGATCTGGGAAAATTCTGCTATGAGGAATACAACTTTAACCCATTGTGCGGTTATATGGGACTGGTATGGGGGGCTCCGACTCTGCAACATGATAACGCACGTTATGTGACCCTAAAAGCACGCTGTCCGTCGTCTCGTCTCCACGTGTCCTGTGGGGAGTCGTGTGCTGTCCTGTCGTGTCGTCTGTCCTGCCACTTTTCAATGCTTCAATGAGATAAATACTCGTACAAGGCTGCAACAGATAATCACCTGCTTACAGCACACACACACATGCCACCCTGCACACACACTCCCACACTCGTCCACACACGCACATAAACAACCACAAACATAGATACATCTATCATTTATCATACTATATACTATAAAATTCAACAAAAGGTAGGTTAGGCACATCCTGCAAAGGGACGGGGTACGAAGAGAGAGACCCAGAGAGAGAGAGAGAGAGTTGTATAGAGTGCGCCTGCTCTGCCGCGCCCACCACCGACTAAGCTTTGTGCTCCACTCCCCCATACTACTATACTACTCCCCCGTGAGTCCTTTAGCACTCCTTTCCCCACTCCTTGCTATTCATAATTTTTCACCAGCCAACTCTGAGGCGTGTCAGGAGCAGCAGCTGGAGGGATGAGGTCGGGGGCGTTACGGAGGATGCGTTTAGACCAGGCCAAAGAAAGGCAACGGAAATTGAGGCACATTAAAACCAGCAGCTTGACACCAGAGCAACAACAGCAAAAACGGCAAATGTCAATTGGCAGTAGTTTGCATATCCTCCCCCCTCCCCCACCGTACACACACACACAGAAAGACCCCGCACATAATTGGGTCAAAGGATATTGACCCTAAGCAGCTATAAAGCTATAGACAGCCAGACAATGTGAATCCATATATTACTCGTATCTGCCAGATACTATTACTCCCGGGTGTAATCCAATGTGAAAACGTTGACAGTTTGTCTGGTAAATCATTTCCGGTGCTGCCTGTCCGACTGTCTGTTCATTCACTTGTGAAACTCGGAGAACACAGACACACACACACATACATTTGTTATTGGCATTTTCGGTTAGTGCACTTAAAAGGCGTGTACTACCATATACACACACGCACACTCACACACACACTCTGCGATACAATCACAGCCACTTGGCAGATACATTTTTGCTGCCTTGCAAGACCAAACAGTTTTCGCTTTTCTTTGATATCGTTGATTTCTTTTCCATCTACCTTTTTCGCTTAGTTTATTTGGGAAGTATTATATCTATTTCTTTTGTGTGGGCGTGTGCTTTCGGAGACTTCCGTTTCGTGGGGCCGGACGACGCGTCGTCGTGTGCTGCGGGGACTGACTTTTCACGTCTTGTTTAATTTAATAAATTTTGTCATTTGATTTCGTTGCGTTTCGTTTCACTTGGAATTCAATTAAATTCATTTGCTTGGTTTCATGCATGCTGCAGCATGCCCCGTGGTCGTCCAGCAAACATCTCTAGCACATTTTCCCATTTCACGAGAATGGATGGGTCTGGTCCGCCTCTCGATTCTCGACTCTCGGTTCACGATTCCGATTCTGATTCCGCCCTACGATACCAAGTTCCGACTCCGTTCCGACTGCACAACTCTAGTCTGCGACAGCGACTGGGTCTCGGTCTGGGTCTGGGTCTGGCGTTAGTTCCGTAATAATTTCGCTCTCCGTGGCACTCCGCTCCGTAGTGCTCTGCTCCCCCTCTGCTTCTGCTGCTGCTTCAGCTTCTGCCCCTGCCACCATGCGCCGTGCACTTTGGCTCTTGTGTGCAATGTATCCATCCCATTCGCTCGGGAGACGACACCAATGAAAGTTTTTCTTTTTATAATGCGAGTTTGTAGTATTTCTCTGTATTTTTCTCTGTTTTGTTCATGGGAATACAATACATTTCGGTTATGGTTTGCCTTTTGCACCGCTCCGCGCTTTCACTCGATTGTTTCGCTTCTTGATGCGGGCGAAAGAGCGCGGGAAAGTATCCGGAGAGTGTGCTCAGAGTGAGTCGGAGAGCCAGAGAGAAATGGAGAAACACAGAGAGGGATAGTCAGAGAGTAGGAGTGAGTACGAGCGCTCTGAGAATAAATACGGTTTTGTTTGTGTTTATTTAGACGATAATATGCTTTTGTTTACGTATTTTGATGTGCAAAACTGACAGACGCAGAGCAAAAGAGGAGATAGACATGGAGAAAGCACAGCACGCACACACAGAGAGCGAGAGAGAGAGATAGTGCGAGTGTAAGAATGTAAAAATAGTTGCAGCTTTTCTTCACATTTCTGTAATCATGCTGCTGGAGGAATGCAGTGCAGCAAAGGGAACAGAAAACGCCTTCCCTTCGCGTTGCCATGCATAAAAATAAATGCTCTATCTCTGGAATAAATTGTATTGGATTACCACAACGACCGATCGATCAGTTGATAAATGATCGGACAAAGAATGCCAGACGGTATGTGGTTTCTGGGTGTGAGAGGTGTTGAGTAAGTGCCGATCTGTTGTGTATCACTGGCATAAATCTAGGGGAGTTGTTAGTTTATTATTGAAACTGTTAGAATGCGGGGAAATGCATGTTGTTGTGGCGGACACCCATGGCTGTAGTTGAGAGAGAGTGAAGGAAATTTCCGCCCCAGATAAACTAAAGGGATATTCTCAGGGAACATATTCTCAGTGCAACAGTGAATGATAGGAGCACTTATGGTGGATGATCGACTTTAAGAAATGGTTAGTGTTTTAAAATACTTACATCGTACGCCATAGCTTTTATTAGTGGAAAAAATATTAAAAAATAGTGTTTGGAAAACTTAAAAATTGATCAAAGATCTCTTAGAAATCTAGTTAATTACTATAAACAATTATATGATTTATGCTTACATTAAACATTTAAAAATGTTTGCTAAAATATTTGTGGTTAAAGAACTTTCACTAAAGATATTTAAGAGATATATTTAATTTTAAAAATCTGGACACAAGGTTGTCCAGCACTCGCCAAATCGGAAATGTTCAAAGTTTCTACATCGTGTCAGAGCCACAAATATACCCGTCCACACATACACATACATATGTATGTATGTATATAAAGAGTGACCAAATCTAAGATCATAAAATTTTTTAAACTATAAAAGCAACAGTGAAAACAGTAAATACGAGTAAACAAAATATGAGTAACTTTTCTGCTGTGCTTCTCTTCTCCTTTCCCCTTCTTCGGCAGTGCAGCACTTGTTGTTGTTCTTTGCTTTATTTGCTGGCTCATTGAGCTTTCGTCTGCTTATCTTTCTCTCTCTGTCTGCTTGTCACTCAACAGTGTTAACGCTCTCCCATGCTTTCGCTCTCTCCCTGGCTTGCATTCTTGCTCTACCTCTCTCTTGGCATGACACATGCGCCGCCCAGAAAAACTTTCTTATCAGTGGTTTGCTCTGGGCCAAACAAAGCTTTGCTTTGCTTTGCTTTGGTTTGGCTTGGTGGGAAGCTTTTCCTTTCGATCAGCTGTTTGATAAGAGCCGCCGCCGCTTAACCCTTGGTTGGCCCTGTGCCATGAGCTTTGGCCGTTGTGCAATGACATGGACATGGACATGAATTATGGTTCGCATGACTGGCAACGTGACTCACTTGGTCAACCTCAGTCGCAGTCGCAGTTGCAGTTCCAGCTTTGGCTACGTTTTGTGGGCGGACACATGCAGCGAGGCGCACTGTGGCTGTGTTGTGGCATGCCACATCTACACACACACACACACACACACGCAAATAAACAAGCCCGCAAACAAATAAAACCGACAGACGGCCAACACCTACGACCCACCGCATGAGTTTTCATACTCAATTGCCGCAAATGCCACAAATATGTGTAATTGACTTGAAAATGCGGCAAGCAAATCAATCCGCACACAAGTCCACCCGCTGTCCAGCGTCCGTCCGGTGTCCGCTCTGTCCGTCCGACCTCAAGTGCAGCGCGTGAACTCATTCTCATTCGTCCGTCCGTCCATCCGTCCGTCCAACAGAGTGTGCGGCACGCTCCGTTCGCTCTCTGGCTCTAGCTCTGGCTAGAGCTCTGGCTCTGGCTCAGGCTCGTTCGCTTGCTGTGTGATTGATGAATGTTGCATACATATTTTGGACGCCGTTGGCTGCCACCATTGTGTGGCATTAATGAGACACTGGCCATTTGTTTTGCCATTTTTTTTGTTTTGTTTTGTTTCCATTCCAGCTGTTTGCTGAAACCGAACCGACCTCTGGGTGCCTTACAAATTATGAATTGTTCGAATGCACCACCAATGCACATTTCCCCCCTCCCCCATATTCAATGGTGGAAGTCGTAAAATTGTATGGTTATTATAACACATCGATAGAGTGTGGATAGCAGTAATCCGCAGTGCAGCAATTAGGGGCGCATTATGTGGGCCCCACAAATATTTACCGGGATCTTGAGATTTAGTATCTCTTCGGAGTCGGAGTCTGGGCGAAGGAGAAGGAACAGATACGAGCACAAGCGCTAGCGGAACTGTTTATTGCCATAAATAATTGTCAACGCCAGCCAAAGAAAACGTCAACTGATATACAGTCATGGCCTGCCCCGATCTTGCTTGAGTTTTGCTTTGGTTTTGGCTTGGTATTCATTTCAGTTTACAGCACACTTGAAAGGCTCCAAGCCGACGCCGCACCCTGACGTCATTTGCTGGTGGGTGCAGCAAGCAGCTAGCAGCAACATCGGCAGCGGCAGCGGCACTCGCAACATCAGCCTCCAACAACTCCAACGAGTATACGGCTCTCAGTTGTGGCCCTGCATTGCATTGCTCATAATAAAGTCATTAGATTGTACCAGTATCGTACTCGTACACTTTTGAGGCGTTAATAGTTTAGTTCCGCTGCATTGACTGCCACAAAGCACTTCCGCATAGAACAAATTGGATATGAATTGGGCATTAGCCATGCACCCATAAAGCGATTCGTTGCGGGAGGGATATCTAGGTGGAAAAAAACACATTAAATGAGCTAGCATTTTCAACAAAGACTTTATACTTTACCAGAAATCACAAATAAGTTGGAAAACTCAAAGTCGAGGAAAGCTTATCTGTTTAAGGGGGATCCTGTACCAGGGTACAACTATGCAAGTCTTACTTATAATTTTGGTTTTCCTGAATTTAACTTGGAAAAATGCTAGCTTTCTTACATTATATTTTATTTGTAACATTTCCAAATTAATCATGCGGCCATTCCGTTGTGTCTCGATGATTCGGCGGGTAGGGGTCCCTGTCTCTGACGTTTTTGATCTCGTTCTCATTGGTCACAAGGCACAGTTTCTCACACTCTTCAACAGAGCTGAATCGATTGGTATTGCCAGCGCAGCCGCTGTAGAAAAACTCCACACAGACATTGTTCTCAAAATCGTAGCCAAAGAACTTTATGTTTTCCTCGCACCGGCCATAAACGGGTCGGAACAGGCAACTTTCTGTGGGTTGAAACGTATCCATTGATGGTATCGGATGGTACTTAAAACCCTACCTTGCAGAATGGTAAAGTCTACAAACAGTTTGGAATTGTCATCGGCCATTCCCCGCTCTGGGCATGCACTGAGAAGAGCCAAAAACGTTGCGTATATGAGCATGGTTGAGGCTTTAATCTACTACTGATATTGAGCAATCGCCAGAGCTTTCCATTTGTAGCCAGTGCACACCTGAATTGGGTGGAAATATAACACGACAGCAGGTGAATGATCTGCCATCTGCGGATTCCCTGAGCGTAATCTGAGACGATCAATATTTATATATCCAGACTATTTATTTACTGCAAATGTACTGCTTTCCCCTGCGCTTCTTTTGATGGCAAACTAATTTCGTTCTCACAGAACGTCAGGCCCCGAAATGATGACAGGGCCCTGAACCGATTGAAGTGCAGCCTCAAATTGAAAGATTGAGTGCGCGCCCAGCCAGTCAGGCAGCCAGGCAGTCCGTCATCCTGGCTGTCCATCAGTGCAGGGGCCCAGGCTGTGTCAGTCACTTGTTGCAGACAAAATGTTGCTAACGATGCTGCTGCCTGCTGCCTCCGGCTTTAGGTCTTGGCCTGGCTCTGGCTCTGGCTCTGCTCTTTGTGGCTATCTCGTGTCATTGTCGCACGACTCACGACGGTGATAAATAATCATCAGTCAGTCAGTCAGTCAGCGAGCCAGTCAAGTGCCTGCTGCCCCTCTATGCGCTTCTAATTAAGCTCTGTGCCAATTGCACGTACTTGTAATTGCATAAAGGGTAACGGCACTTGCTGCTCTGTCTGTGGCAGTTCCTGCCCCCCTGCCCCCCAGTCCACCGCTCCATGAAGCAGAGTCCGAGGCCAAACCCATGCCCATCGATTTGGGGTCTTACTTCTTGTTATTATCGCCATCGCTGCTGTGGCTGTTTTTGGTTAGCTTGCCCCTGAGGCTCAACCTGAGCCCATGGACTGATAGCACAAGTTGGCAATGACATTTCAATGCATTTATGATGGTTATCTTGGCCAGCAGAAGCAGAAGCAGAAGTAGAAGCAGAAGCCATGGCTGCTATGCCAATTGTCAGAGTAAAAGAGAGAGAGAGAGAGAGAGAAGATAGAGAGCTGGAGCTCTCTTTCCCTGCACTGATTTAGATAAAT